GAATAAGTATGAGCGTACACAATGTGAAGCCCTTTTTTACAGCTATTGCTTTTCAATGCTGTAAGATCTTAGATTATTATGCCAGTCTTCATTGGGGCCGTTCTGGATTTTGCTCTCCTGGACTGAGTAGCAGTCAGACTAAACAGATAGGTGTTTGTGGGTTGATTTTGTGTCCAAAGTGCACCCCGCTTTGGGATGGCCGGTGTCACGTGGCTACGAAGGGCGTTTTGTGTTATGGCGTGCTGAGTGCTGTGTCAAATCGTGTAAAGCATTCTGGGAACTTACAAATGTTCTTGCAGGGGTTAGTGTGTAGGACGATACATCGGTACGATTGTGCAATCTATGAGAGGGACTGGTACGCGATTCGAGGGTGCAAACTGTGCGATGGAGTTCCCGGAGGGCTCATGGCAGGTCGTGAATGCAATCGTCGTGCGCACGAGTTTGCTCCGTTTCGATTATCAGGTTTGTGTTCTATTTGCAGTATTTGGACGGGTAGCAAAGTTGGTTATCTCGTTCCGGATTCTTTGGGGGGAATAGTCGTTCCGTTGACAGTCTGCATATGACAAAGGAAAGCCTGTTCTGTGGGAAAGCGAACTCGAGCCTGTTAGCTGATGCTGTAGCTTAATGGCAAACAGGGTAGTTTCCGAATGACAAAGCGAAGCCTGTTCTCTCATGGTTGCATGTTGTGCTGGCTATATTGCCTGGTTCTCTTCCTAACAGCTTGTTCGTCTTCACGTCTAATTAGCTCCACGACCCAGTGGGAAGCCGGTTACGGTGACTCTGCAGTTCTTTTGGAAGTTACAGGTTTGAGGAGCTCATGCTTACCGAGAAGGACTCTGTTTTTGGCTCTATGGAGAAGGTGAGTAGCGAGGTTCGCATCTTTTGGTTCTTGCAAGAAGGGAGGCCATTTATATGGAGGGAAGAAGTGGGAGTCAAGGTCAGCTAGTAGGGGTTGCTGGGCACATCTTTCTTGGAAGACGTGCACTGATTTGAATTGTGCATGTTATGGGATCAACTTTGTTCTCTATGCACTTTTGTATGAGTTCTAGGAAGGTGCAGGTGAAATTGATTTGTAGAAAATGATTTCGTTGACAGTCATCTTCGTTGGGTTAAAAAAGGGATCTGGCTAATCAGTTTATAGGATCCAAGTGTCCTGACGTCAGTGAGATGCTATCTCGGTTTAGAGGCCCAGCGACACTCGGTGCTTATTGAGAGAAGAGGTGGCAATTGAATTATCGAGAGGGTACTTGTGAAATTCGGTCTGTGAAGATTTGGAGGTCAATGCGGAGAATGGAGGCCCAGCGACAGAATTGCCGGAGCTTGGTTGCGGAAGTCGGCGTTTTTCCGCCGAGGAGAGACGTGCGGCAGCGGAGTTTGTCTTTGGAACAGGATGCTGTGAAATCAAACTGCTGGTTGGTGCTCAGAGCAAGAAAAAAGGTTGGTTGGTACAAGGTTATGTGAGGGCATTCCATAGCTGCGAGGATTCCAGAAAACTCCGGTGGCTGAGATATTGATGTTAAAGGGATGCGCTTGAGTCGGTGCTTCAGATGATGATGCATTTTGGGATGAAGGCGAATAACAGGGTGAAGGTGACTACTGCTTATTAACAAGTACAGCACGATGGCTGCTGGTAACGTGATGCAAAAAGCTCCATGTCTGCCTCGTGCTGGAATGCGGAAAGGCAAAGTGACAGCTGATATGAGCCCCGGACCGGGCTTGTGACTCTCTCTGCCGCAGGATGTCATCAACTTCCAGGCTCTCTCCAACTGTTGGCTTTTCCAGCGTCAGATGTATGCCAACAGTAAATCCACATCTCCCTGAACCGCATGGCTCTCTCCATTTATACAAGCTCCCTGCATTCTTCTTCCACGTTCTCTAGTTTGGTGTGCACCTGTGAACGGACGGGGTTGGGTAGAAGTGCTGGTATGTATGGCATTGTCTCGGGACTCTTGGCCACTCCTGTGCCTGGCCGTTTACCCTGGTTGGAGTTCTGATCGTGTACTCTGTCTGGATGTCATCCATCCGTGCAGCAATGACTCTGCTATGGTGCTGGTATGCGCTCTTGGGATGAGAGGGGCGAGGTGCGGAAGTCGTATGGATTGGTTCATGCAATGGAAGTGCAATCGTGTCATTCTGTGGTGAAGAGGACTCGCTGATAAGTGGAGGGAGGGATAGTATGGCGTGATTGCGGATCTGCCTGTGTCAGAATAACATGCGAACTGCATGCAAAATCGAGGAAAAGCTCATCAGCTATTGATGTGGGCGGAGAGGCAAAATAAATTCAGTCACAGGTCGATCATAAACGTCGAGTGTGAAAATCTCTACTCTGTGTTATTTTGCTGGGGAAAATCAAGAAAGCGGTTGGCTTTTTGCGGGATGGTTGCAACGTGCGGCAAACAAGAACTTCAGGGCGCTCACGCTCACTCGGAACATGTCCGTGTTTTGCTGAAGAGGTGTGATCAGATCGGTATTCTGTCTCGAAAACCCGTTCCCAGACGGAGGGTAGAGTTGGCCATACTGGATATTGAGAGTATATATATTTTCAAGTGCATTTTATGATGCATTGGACGCGATCACTTTGGCCTTGTGAAGAGTTGGAGGTATTTATCGTGTATCTGTTCCAACGCTTCCTAGACTCGAGTGGTGTGTATATTCAGTTAAGTCCAAGCTTGGAAATACAGTATTTGTTGGAGGAAAAATCTATCTATTCCAGGAACAAGCTGAGTCTTTCTGACATTTGAAGCTGATAATTTATGGTCAATGGCTTTTCAGCCATTTGGTTGGTTAACCTGCCTCTTTTGTTTTTTAACTCTGGTTAGGAATATGACTGTGTATTTTTCTTTCCCTTACGAGTCTTCTGACGGCTCTGTTATGGTTGATGGCTTTTCCTCGAGGACTCGTGTTGGCAACACTGTTGAATGTGTGGACTCCTTGGCAATTGGTGCTTTGGATGTGAGGGGTGTTTAGGTTCTGTCACAAGCTATTTCCTTTTGTTTTTTTCTTGTTCAGCAAAGGGTTCTTCTTTCTGCCTTGTTGTTGGCTCTGTGGGCCAGGAATTATCGTATCGACCGTCTTCACAAATGCATCTCTCGGAACATGAATGCTCCTCGTTCTCAGTCAATAACCGTTTGTGGAAACACGGAATTATTTGGCCTTTTCTCTGAAAGTGAAATCATCCATGTATGTAAGTGAAATCGTCCATGTATGTGGAAAATCCCTCTTGGGAGCTACACCCCGTTTTTGAATTTAGTATCCGATGATTCTGATTGTCACTTCCGTTTTTCTTCTGTAAAATGTATGTGGATGTTTTGTATAACGTATCACGGCACTGCTTCCCTGGTGCGAGCAGCTCAGGTCCATGTGAAGCCAATGGGAGTCATTTTTTAAATCAGTTGCCAATGGCAGTTCATCTTTTCGCAGAGCCCTTGTCCGTCGGTGTGGAAACGTGTATGTGGAAGCCAATGGGGTTCATTATCTGTCGTTATGCTTGGGTGAGAATTTATGTCGTTACAATAAATTACGTCGGTGTGGAAACGTGTATGTGGAATCGTCAAAGTGGAAACATTGAAACTGCTGTGATCACGATGCCACTTCGCTTTATTTGATTTACTTATCGAGCTTGTATTGGAGTTTGAGGAGGTGATGTTTTTTTTCTGTCAATCGTTGGTTTTCTGGTATCGAGCTATGGTTCGCAGGGTTATTGGAGGACTCTTGGGCTGGGTTGTGTTGGCAGCAGGCTAAAAGCAAACTCGCCTCTGAACCTGTAAAATGGTGCTGTACCGTCCTTGTTGCACTCGTATATATTGGGAGCAGATCACACAAGTTCAATTTTTTCTGGCATCTCCGTTTTCTGTTTGACGTCCTTATTATGCGGATGTTTCAGGTTGCAGAGTTGCGAACTTCTGTCTGTCAAATTGTCTTTTTTTCTTTTCTTCAATTTACAAAAGTGATCATGGTAAAACAGCAGAGGGAATGGAACGTTACTCATTCGGCCTAGATGAATGTTTTCGCTGGTTGCGGAGTTTGAAATGAGATAAGTAAAACCGCCTGGGGATGGTTAAGAACTTGACGGTCGCGGATGAAGGAAGATATATTTGGGTGTTGTGCATCTGAATCTGGCAGGTATGGTTTCCTCGGTGCACCCGTCATACTCTGTGGTATAGGGTGTTGTGTATCTTACCTGCCTTTGTTAAGGACGTCGGTGAATTGTTGAATGCACTGTGGTTGTGTTGGCAACATAGTGTCTTGCTGTCGAAAGCTGTTGTGTAGCATTGGAATGGAGGAACACTTGGAGAGCTGTCAGAACATTGATTTGTGAATCACACACTTGTTTTAGGCGTGTTTGCCTGCGGACGAGAAGTATGTGCAAGGTTTTAGGAGAGTCCCCCGCATGCAAAAGCGGGTTATTTGGAGAGTCGTAAGGAGAGAGTCACCAAGCAACGTTTTGAGGGGGTAGGTGGAGCAGCAGGAAATGGAGAACGAGTTAAAGTAGCAGGAATAGGGGTGTAGGATGATCTGGAAGGGGTGGATTTCAAAACGGTGAAGCACGTTGTAAACGGGGGGTTAAAGAACCTAGGTATCAGCAGAACAAGCAGTACTTTTTCTCCCGCTGGTATCTGCGGCTGTGTCTGGACTTGTCATTGTATATGGCTCTGCAGCGGAGCCGGACCCTACCAGTGAGGGGTGCTTTGCTGGATTGTCCTGGTCGGACTCTTTCACCAGGCGATGGGAAAGTATATTGTGATGGGTGGTCTGGAAATGTTGATTAGAAAATGGCAGAGGGATGGGATGAGTAAAAAGAGGTAAATGAATGTGTTCAACAGTTCAACAGTTATGGGAGGTACTTTTTAGTGAGCAGATGTCTGATGGGAAGAGGTCTGTGAGTTTGAAATTCAAGACTGTGACGGTGTTTTTTTTTTATGATGGGTGTGCATCCTTGAGATGTAGCTTCAGTGCAACTGAAAAGAAGAGGTCTCACTGTGACAATTTGTGAACTGGATTTGTATGCATCGAGCTGTGTTTGTGGCCAGGTTCGGAGTGTTTCACCGTGTAGGTTGAGGTTAGCAATTATAACTGAGATTTCAAGGTTTATCATCGTTCCCCGTTCTACATTCGCTTCAGGAGGTTGGTTTCCATGTCTTGATGACATGCCTAACTGTGGTAAAAATCATTTATTAAATTAATAAATTGTTATCTTGGTCAATCCAGAGATCTCGTTTTCTGTTTTCTTTCGTCTGGGACTGTGTGTCGTTGTTCTGTTTTTCCCATGTCTCGTTCTACATTCGCTTCAGGTGCTGTGTTCAACGTTCTTGTTTTTTTAACTCTTTTCTTTTTAGAAACAGCTCCTTGTGGTCCTTCTGGGACTGTACATTCCCGGGAGAGTCAGCCAGGTTCCTTTTTACCAGCAAGTAAGGACCGGGTACATCAATGTACCCGCTCGACCCATCGTTCTGTCTGGGCCGTAGGATGCCTGAACAGGACCAATCTAAATGTCTATTGTTCCAATTCTGCCCATGTCCCAGAGGACAGCAATTGGGACACTTGGTACTGCGAAGTTCCAGTTCCAAGTTTGCTGGGTGCTTGGTACAATCAAAATGTCTATTGTTTCTGTCTTGGGATGAATCTTAGCAAGCCGCGAAAAGCGATTGATCACAGAGATGGTGGAATTGGAGAGTCAAAGGTTGACGGTCTAATTGTGGAGGTTCGCATGGTGGTATCCATCTTTAGAATCTTAAGAGATAGCAAGTGTAGTGGATATTGTACGTGGAGCTGCACGTGGTGGTATGTAGCTTCGCCTGTTATACGTTGGGCCGTGTAGACATCCATGCACTGTAAAAATTGCTAGTCGGCCGGGTACTCTAGACTGGGCCTGTAGAGATGGCCTGTTATATGTTGGGCCGTGTAGACATTGCCTGTTATACGTTTAGTGATCTGGGCCTTCCGGGCCTTGTTCGAGCTCAAGTTGAATCCAGGCCTTCATTCCCTCTCAGATCAATGGGCTGAATGGCCGTGTGATGTACACCCAGATTGTGCAGCCATCTCGGCCATCGGCCGGGTACTCTGGAATGATGTCCTGGAGTCTACCAGCTCCAGTTGTTTTCTGTCTGTCTTGACAAGGACTGTTAGATGTGGAGGGTCTACGTCACGTGCGTTGTATGTAGTCAGGTTGTGGTTGTCTTGATGCCCGTTCTTGGTTTCCATGTGTGTGTCTGTGCGAGTGTGTGTGTGTGTGTGAGAGAGAGAGAGAGAGAGAGAGAGAGAGCCTTCCTGCTCTGCTCAGTGATACTGGTGCACTATGCTCTCTGTCTGTGCACCACATCCCCCCCTCCCCCGTGTTGTCAAAGACTACTAACCGTACTCGGTTCTTGTTTTGCATCACCCTGTCCTGACCCCCGGCCCTCTGTCGCACTACGATCAAATGAGACAGTGCTTCATGCACGGACATCCACATGGGCCTCTTGTGCCCAGCATTGGACCTACGAAGGCCCCTGGGCCTACTGACTCACTTTTGGGTGACCCTAGGGCCATGATAATGTTTTAGAGCGTGCAGGTAGGCCCTACGTATGTTACATAGTTGAGTTTTTTCTGAGTGCATTTTGTACTTCTCAAAGATATTTCTATTCTCTTTGTTCTGTAACCTTTCAATCGGACCGGTAGGGCAATTTTCAGACCCGTCTCCCGATTTTGAGGCCCTGCCCGAATTCGGGCTGGATCAGTCGTCGGCTATACTCCTGGTCCAGTCCTTTTCAGCACATCTGTGCTGCGTCAGCAGGGAAACCTGGACGTCTGCCAGTGGTCCAGGCAGGTGGTTCGTATGCTAGCGTTCGCGAGCAGACCACTGGTTAGTATGCCAGCGTTCGCGAGGAGTACTGGACCGTCGATTGATGCATTGAGTGGATGGCCCTGGGTCGTGGCCGAGTGACGGCTCAATCGGCGCAATGGTAATATTGCTGGACGGTTCCCAGTTTCAGCATGCATTGTTAGTAGTATAGTTCGGCCACAGGCTTATGGAGAGCTATGCTGTTTTAGAGTACCGTTAGTGGAGCAGGAGATGAGAGCAGGAGATCAGAGAGAGAGGGAGAGCTCTTTGGCAGAGTCACAGCATTTCAGCGACTCACCTGGGAGCATTGGAGTTGCCCACCTAAGGCGGGCCTTCCTTCATCACATGAACCAGCACAGGGTTACTCGTCTCCAGAGAGAGAGAGAGAGAGAGAGAGTTTGAACTCACCATGCGCTGACAATGGAGGGTTTTGGCAGTTTGTGCTCAATTCGTCCAGGTTAGGCTGTAATTGCAGTCAGATACATAGTGGTCAGATTTGTCTGCGTTTGGCTATAGTTTTAGGCATATACATTAGGCATATACATTTAGGAAGCATCATTGTGAGTACCTCCCAGATAAGCACGCAGCATATCGTTGGCTAGGCTACCAGCCGGGCCGCCCGGTTCAGCTAGCTTTTCTGGGGGACTTGGCCTTGTAAGGGCCAAAGGTGGTCCCCGCCAAAAAAAAAAACTGAAAGATCTGGAAAAAAATATGTTATGCAGAAAAATAAACTGAACAAGGTTTGCGTCAGGGTTGCATCAACCTCCCTTCACCGAAGAGGTTGAAGTCTATCCTTGCAGGGGTCCCCTGTATAGCCGTAGTAGCAGTAGGTAGTGAAAAGAAAGATATGTTCGGTAAGGTTCCATGATGACGTGGCAGAACGCCACTTAAAAGATATGTGAGGTGAGAGAAAAAATATATGGCTTCCCCCCAATGAGGATAAGGCAGCTCAAAAAGTGGAGGAAAAAAAAAAAACAACCAAATTAAAAAAAAGAAAGTCAACCAATATGGTGTGACACCGTTGAACTAGCTCAAGGAAACGGTGTGACACCGTTTTTGTGACTTGAAAACTCAGTGAACTATAGATGATATATTCTTATCTATAGATGATAAAGATATATTCATTTCTTCCATTATTTATTATTGTATGTGTATGTAATTAGAGTGAGGTTATTCAGACACAATCAAATTCAAGAATGAAATATAGTTTATGGTAGTAATTAATTGCTTTTCTAGTTTCAATAAAAAAAGTTATTCTTTTCTCAGAAATTCTATTTTCTGTAAAAAAATCTGCATACTACGCAACGTC